CCTTATGGGTCACCTCTGCCTCCGGCCCCATCAAAGCGAGGTCTCCATCACGTGGCAAGGTCAGAAAGGCATCGGAGCCCCCGTGCTTTGAAAGGGGGGGGGTGAGGGGCTGGGGAAAGAAACTGGGAAGGGGGGGGCTGCTGCCGTAAGAAAGGCTGCTTATCCTACCAATTGAGGCGGAGGCTGGAGAAGAGGGTGGGGAGGTTGCTGGTGCCCAAACGGACAAGGCAGTGAGAATGCTGATACCTCCCACTGTGGAGGAAAAAAGATACTTCCATCTGTTGTGTGCCAGGATTAGCAGCAGCGGCTTCTGGCTTCCAGACCATCATTCCTGGTGGTTCTCCTCGTTTAGGTGGGGTCGCTTTAAAAAAAAAAAAAAGATCCGTGGACTCATAACAAAATAGTCCCCCCCCCAGTGTGAGTGGATCTCCAGTCTACGTTGGATTTCCTGGGAAGTCAGGAAGAGGCAGAGAGGCTGGCAAGTTACAGCTTTACCGGTTGGCTTTGCCCCACATCTTTCCCAACCCTCCCTGGAAACTGGAGAGGAGCCGTTTTCATAGCACAGGAGTGTAGCGTTTTGCGATCGGGAATTCTGTGCAGCCTCAAAATTATCAGCAGGGCAAGGCAGTTTCCAGAACTTAGCCTGTTTAATGGTGCATGGTAAGCGGCAGAATAGGACGAGGATGCCGGTCAACCGCTGTTGCGTTCTATCTCTTCAATCTACCGGCGTGGTTTTAGGAGACTGACTTGGGGGCTGTGAAATTATTGCGGCCACGTCACACACTGACACCTCACTTCTGTGCTGGATGAGATATGGAGGTGCCTTCTGCAATTACTGTGTGTTAAGCAGGAGGATAAATAATGGATGGCAGCTTTGACAGGGCCTTTGTTACAAGACAAAGACTATTACACTACTCTTAATCTAATGTCTAAGATAATTGAAACGCTGGCTTCAAAAATGGTGACTCCTGTTTGGAGCAGTTTTAACACACCCCCGTCTTCCCCAGATCGTCCGTTCTGTGCAAGTCACCAAAGAGCATTTTCCAGCAGGACTGTGTCCTTGGCTAAGTTTCCTCTGTCACTTTGCAGAAGTTAGTAAAAAGCACTATTATGATCCTTTTTGCTAGGGTGGGAGTATTCTGGCCAATGCAATTCACATGGTTCTAGTGTCCACATTCAGGATTTCAGTTTAAGGAAAACCTGGTTGCTTCCGTTGAGAGAAATATCTGGGGAACGATGCATTCTTTTGTTGTTAAAGGGCTGAGTGTGCAGGGGGGAAAAGAGTGACTCCGTTTCCCGCATTTGGCTTGAATGTACAGTACTGTTTCTAAAAGCAGAGGTGGAAACGGGAGGTGTGTGGCTTCCAAATAACTTGTTCTACATGGATGCAGTGACAGCGTGGAGCTGGTATAAATAAAACAGGATTCCTCCACTGTTCTCGGAGAAGATGTATAATCTAAGCCTGATTCCAGTGGCTTTGGAAGTTGATAATTTGCTATTTCTCTAGGGTATCTGAAATCTATGTGCTATCAATACACATCAGTCTTCAAGAAGGGGAGATGGCTTTTGGGTAAAATAACGGGAGTTTTAGTGTTCCGGTGTTATAGTGCCAATGCAGTTCTTGGCTAATTGCAGATATGAGTGCAAAGATCAGTGTTGATAAATTTCTTTTGAGTTTTCCATGACTTTGCACTTGAACATTTTATGAATATGATCCACCTTCCACGTTTTATAAATCTCTGAAAAACAGGGAGATTGTGAGAGTATTTCTTGAAGGACTGTATTAACTCTTTGAAAACCTCTAGGTTTGAGAATTTAAATAATCTGTCCTCTGAAGCGTGTAGCTCTTATGTAGCCAGTTCTTGGTAAAAATGAGCAGATATTTAGTAAAATGCATGGCAATGAAGTATGGGAATGCAAAAATACTCTTCATTCTGTCTTAATTTTCGGGAAGATTGCTAAGATTGTATTGCGATATCAAGTCTTGGCAACTTCATGAAACTGACACAAAAAACAGATGTGATCAACAGAAGTGGGGGGCTGTTCATTCAGAGGGAGACACCCGAGCCATACAGATAAGATAGTTCCTGTAAAGTCACTTTCAGATCTTTTGCCACTTGTCCTCCAATTTATGTAAAAATGATCTTTCTTACAGTTAAAGTCACTGTGGTTGGTTATGTTAAGCTGTAGAAAATTAGAAACAATAAAGAAATAAAAAAGGAGGAAAACAGAAAAAAAGAGTCAAGGAATAAAAAAGGCATTGGAGTGTCTCTCACAAAACTGGATTTAATTTGTAAATTCTTGGGGGGAAAGGAAAAAATACTCTTCAGTAGA